GTCTCACACCATTTGGTATGAGAAAGTATCACTCCATTTGCTGTGAGGCACAACGAGTCTCACACCATTTGGTGTGAGGCACGAGTCTCACACCACTCTAGCAGCTCTCGCTTGTCGGATGGTATTTTTTACGTCACGCGAAACGGTACTCATGTCGCAATGACTGGGTATATCACCATGTAAAAAAGAGACATCCACCCCCCCCCCCTGACTTTTTTCAATTTCCTCTACTCTGCTAACCCAAACTTAGTCCAGACCCTACTGCATGGAAAAAAAATTGTCACCACAACGAACGCCGTTACAGGCATAGCAAAAAATTGATTATTGCTGGTGCAAATAACTTGCTGGAACCAAAATTTTGATGTTACATCCAACACCTTTTAACGTATGAATTTTGTTGAGAATACTAGAGAAAGGTTTTTCCAGATTTTGCATTCTCAGCAAACTTATTTCTTGTCCTAGCATAATGTTAGTTGTCGCATTAAAATTGAGTTCCCTCGAAGAATTATTCGTGCCTGCTACAAACATGTTTTTGAAGTGTCTATATTATTAAGAAATCCGTTCGTTATAGTGACCGAATATTTTGTCCGCGTGTGCTGCAACAGCGGACCTTCGCAACTATCGTTGTAGTTATTTTTCTTTTCTCATCTCTTGCCATGTTGGTTTTTCACCTATATTCACTCTGGAAACAAAAGGGAACAAAATTGCATCCTTTCTGGATGTGCACGAAATCGTTGCAAATCTACGGACAAAATTGTCCCTTGACATTTAGAGTGTAGTGTCGTATATTATCACTCTTATAAGTACAGTACCATGTTGTCCAATAGTTTAAAGTGTTATTCGACTCCAGGCTCGGCAAGCATTTTCGCTTTTTCGATTGGCGTATGGTGTAGTCTTAAGCGCTGACTGAAGTTCAAGTATAATTGGAACACGCCTTATCCTCCGTTTGCTTGGTAGCTCTAATGGCAAGGTCGCTGTATACTGTCAATTGACTCGGCACTCAGGGTTGTAGGTTCGATTTCCGAGTACCCCTGATGGTAAGGCCCCTGAATCTGGGTTTCAGTCTTGCTCACCGTGCTACACCTACCTATCCTATAAGTCCAACAACCCACAATCTACTCCCCAGTCCGTTTAAAGTGATATGGCCCTTAAGCACATTTCGGACACAACCCTTAAAATAAAATTTAGGTTTTCGTATGTTTTGTTACAAGAATTTGTAGACGACTATGCCATAGGCTATGCTATATGCTGATCACAGAACACCTAGGGTCGGAAATTTTATTTAGTTGGTGCACGAGTCCCCGAAAGTGCGGGTATAGTCATTTGAGCGAGGGGGTAATAACTCCGGGAATCATGTGTACACCTGCCTAGGAATCAGCAGGATGAAAATTAATCAAAATCAACGGAAATCGCATAAAATAAGCGGGAAACTAGTGGAACTCGTACACATTAGTCGAAATAAGCCTTTTCTACCACTAGAAAATCTAAGACATGAACATAAGTGGAAGGGAATCACTGGGAATCAAGGATTTCGGGAATAATGTGTACACATTAAAAGGGAGTTATTGCCCCCTCGCATTTGAGGTTAAGCCTTACGGGAACGCCCGTTATACACGCTGCGCATTATAGTTCATATCTTTCTTATTTCATCATAAAGACCAATTTTCCTTGTGTGCTATCGACGCAGAATTGAAAGACCAATCTGTTAATAAGTTTTTTTAACCGTCCCGCATTACTCCTCACAAAGTAGTCTTTAAAAAACTTAGGTCTGGCGCTGTTCGGCCGCAGCGGGCTTCCATTAGGCAACATGAAGCGCAGCCTTAACTTTAAAAGCCAATATCTCGGAAACGAGTCCATAAAGTGAACTTTTCGAGTATACTGGTGAGTGTACGAAGATTCAAAGAATATTTTCGGTGCAAAATATCGCATGATTAATTACTTGACCTTAAGGGCTATACATCTTTAAGCGAGCAAGCACCGGATCCCGTCCCGTCCGAACTCGGAAGTTTATCGCACGGGGCCCCCGGGAAGGGGTGGGGGAGAGCCCTCTTTTCCTTGTATTTTGTTCTAGTCCTTCCGATATGC